GGTACCTCAGCTCTACGAACGGTGTTGCCGCACCCGGGGGCTGTCCCCATCTGTGACTCGGCATCTGGCCGGCTCCCGTCTGTGGCCGGCCCCACAGCAGCTGCCCTCCACCGTCACCCCAGCGGGGGAGAAGACCCCCTCGCCGCGTACAGGCGTCCCCCTGTGCGGCCCGGCAACTCACACGTCTCCTCCTCTCATATGTAACTGGAATTAACACAGCATGTGGCTGTGCCCTGTGGGGCTGAGGAGTGCTGTCTTACGCGAGCCTGGACACGGGAGCTGAGCCTTTGCCGAAAACCTGCATGTGTGCGGTTAGCATTCAATTTCCATTAGGTTAGACGGGGTCTCGGAGCCACACAAGACGAGCAACGGAAACCGGAACCCTTGCAACACACCACCAGGAGCCCTGCAGCCAGAGAGGCAGCCGTCCGAACCCTCCTGCCCAGGAGACAGCCTCAAGAAGGAGACCCTGTCCCGGGTGGGCCGCCTGTGCTAACGCCGTGCAACGCCACGGCGTCCCCGGGTGCACTCGTCTCAGCGGCGGGAGTGAGCACAGACGGCCACGTAGTCACGGCAGGGCAGGGTCATCGTCCAGCAGAGAGGGCAGCAGGGGGCTGGGGGTGAGCTTCTAGGAACCGCCGTGCCTGCTCCAGAACTGGGCGGAGAAAAAGGCCTCTCGGAGAATTTATGCCACCTCGCCTGCCTCAAATAAACTTTGCGGTCTGAAGTCGCATTTGCGTGTCCTGAGATGCATCGAGCTGGGAAATTCACCTAAAGAGCTCTGAGCTGACCGAGCCACGGGGGCGAGTGGCAGAAGCAAAAGACAATCCTTCGGTAAGAACGTAGTCTCAGCACAGGGGTCAGGAGAGTCCCACAGGTGTGTCCCGGCCACATGGAAATCTAAAGGACAAGACCAGAGGACAGCAACCACCGCGGACAGCAGCCACCAGAAAAGGGCTCCGTGAACATCGTGAACAGGAGCTCCGATGTTAGGACGTGCAGAAGATAACCTCAGCAGGCTTAGAATATTTGAACAGGGGCGCCTGGGCGGCTCAGCCGGTTGAGCGTCCGACTTCGGCTCGGGTCACGATCTCGCGGTTCGTGGGTTCGAGCCCCGCGTCGGGGTCTGGGCTGACAGCTCGGAGCCCGGAGCCTGCTTCGGATTCCGTGTCTCCTTCTCTCTCTGCCCCTCCCCCGCTCATGCTTTGTCTCACTCTGTTTCTCAAAAATAAATAAATGTAAAAAAAAAATTTTTTTTAAAACCCGGGGGGCATCATCCTTCTCGGCCTCTCTCCTGTCCTCATGCCATTCCGGTATTCTCTGCCGTCTAGATCCCTGTAAGCCTTCTTCCTGGTCTTCCTTCTCCTTCCTTTATTGTTCTTACGGCCTGTTCCGGAGAGCATTGGAATCCTTCTGCAGGTTGACACGTCCCGGAGGTTTCCACCTGGCTCTGAATAAGACCAACGTTCTGTCCTCGCTCTCCCAGCGCCAGTATCGCCAACCCCACTTGCCCCACCCAATCTCTTCTGACCTCACAGCCCACAAATCTCCCCAGAGAGCGACACCCTAGCAACGCAGGCCTCCTCGTTCCTCAAACAGGACGAGCGTCTTAGTGCCCGGAGGCCGGTCTTTCTCGCTAGAATGTTCTATGCTTGGTATTCACAAGCTGCTGGTGTCCCCCCCAAAGTCCCATATTGAAAGCTAGCCCCCAACGTCATGGCATTAGGAGGTGGGCCTTTGGGGGGTGACCAGGTCATGAGGGGGAGCCCCACGCATGGGATCGGTGCCCTTGTAACTGATCCCATTCTGCCCCGAGGACTCAGCGAGAAGGTCCTAGCTGTGAAACGAAAAGCAGGCCCTCCAAGTCTGGCCTTGCTCATGGACCGCGGCCCTCACAGCTCGGAAATAAATGTCCGTTGTTTATGAGTTACCTGGTCTACAGCATTTCCTTACAGCGTCCTGCGCTGGCCGAGACAAAGGCTTTCTGCTTCCCTGTCTCCTGGTTCCCGCTCAAAAGTCAGCTTCTCCCAGACCTACCTCCTCATTACTCTCTATGACGCGACCCTCCAACCACTCTCTTTCCTTCATCCTGTTTTCTTCTCCTTCATAGTATTTACCATACGGCATATGACGGTTTTGTTTCTGTTTAAGTGTCTTGTCTCCAAAATCAGACACAAAATCCGTGGAGGAAGGGGCTCGGCTTTGTTCACTGCTAGATCTCCAGGACCTAAAATAGTTCCTAGCATGTAGCAGGTACTCAAGGGTAACCAGGAAAAGAATAAGAATGGATCATATTTCTTTCCTTTTCCCATTTTGAGGTGGGGAAAAACCGGGTTAAAATGCAAAATCCAAACAATGTCAAAACGAGGGAGAGTAGTAGCAGCATGGAAACAGAAAACAGAGGAAAGTATAAAATAAAATGTTAAAATAAGTCCACGTCCGGACGCCCAGGCGGCTCAGTCGGTTAAGTGTCTGACTCTTGGTTTCGACTCAAGTCATGATCTCACAGTTTGTGAGTTCGAGCCCCGCATCGGGCTCTGAGCTGTGGGTGTAGAGCCTGCTTGGGATTCTCTGTCTCCCTCTCTCTCTCTCTGCCCCTACCCTGCTTGCTCTGTCTCTAACTCTGTCTTTCTCAAGATAAATAAATAAACATTAAAAAATAAAAATAAATAAAAGTAAGTTCACACAGATGAGTAATAACAATAAATGTAAACAGACTAAAACTCACCAGTTAAAAAAATAGAGATTGTCAAATTGGATTTTTTTTTTTAAAATTTTTTTTTTTCAACGTTTATTTATTTTTGGGACAGAGAGAGACAGAGCATGAACGGGGGAGGGGCAGAGAGAGAGGGAGACACAGAATCTGAAACAGGCTCCAGGCTCTGAGCCGTCAGCCCAGAGCCCGACGCGGGGCTCGAACTCACGGACTGCGAGATCGTGACCTGGCTGAAGTCGGACGCCTAACCGACTGCGCCACCCAGGCGCCCCTGTCAAATTGGGTTTTAAAACAATCCAGTTATGTGCTCCTTCTAAGAGATACCCCCTAAATCACAGGACATAGGAAGATTGCAAAAAGTACAGAAGACCAATAAATAGCAAAGCCTGTTGGTGTATGTACCACAATACAGGACAATTTACACTTTAAGGGAAAAGTATTACCATACCGACCATATAACATTAAAATAAAGTAGAAACTCACAGCATATTATATAAGAACATATGCAGATGCCATAAATACGTCAGTAAATGATGAAAAGACAAGACGTTAGGTTACCTGGAGGTGGGAGGGCGGCGATGGAGGTTGTGATTTATTTTTTTTTTTAATTTTTTTTTTCAACGTTTATTTATTTTTGGGACAGAGAGAGACAGAGCATGAACGGGGGAGGGGCAGAGAGAGAGGGAGACACAGAATCGGAAACAGCCTCCAGGCTCCGAGCCATCAGCCCAGAGCCCGACGCGGGGCTCGAACTCACAGACCGCGAGATCGCGACCTGGCTGAAGTCGGTCGCTTAACCGACTGCGCCACCCAGGCGCCCCAGAGAGGTTGTGATTTAAAAGTACATAAAAGTGCCTCCAACTGTATTGATAATTTTTTTTTTTTATTCTAAGCCGGATGATGGACACACGGGTAGTTAACATAATTTCATCAGATCTGTTCCATGTTGAAAATGGTTCATAATAATAATTAAAAAAAACCCTGTTTCCCATATCTGATGATAAATGACTTCCAACACAAGATCCATGAATGTGGAGGTCAGAGAGCCCTTTGGGAAGAAAAGCAATAATGACCGACAAGGCTTGGAGGCACCTTCCAGGGAAGGCGAGGCCCTTCTTGATTTAGCAAGATACTCTGCGAAACAAGTTACTTAAACTCAATTTCGGCCTCAGGGAAATGTGTGTGGACATTAAGAGAAATAGGTGAAGTACTCCGCACACGGTCAGTCAAGGAACTGCGTCAAAATCTTCCTGGAAATGAGGCAGAAGGGAACAGGGGAGGCAGAAGGAAAAATGCCATGGGGAGAGCCCCGCACCCCCCTCCCCTGCCTCCCCCACCTGTGGGCCCTTGCCGGGGCCCCTGTGGATTCTTTGTCTCTCATCCGCAGGATACGGTGCACCCCGCTCAGCTTTGTGTGACCTGGCTGCGTCTGGCACATAAGGGACACTCAGTCATTATCTGGGGAGCGCTGCAAACATGGGGTCATCTTGGAAGTGAATACAGACGCATCCTGTCAAGGCTGCAAACAGATGGGTTCGGCTCAGCTCTCCAGTTGGGAACCCGCAAGATTACACACAAGGATAATGCTTACTCACCACTAGCTCGCTCAGCTTCTGGTGTAGCCACGGTTCACAAGAGGGATGCGACGCCAGGCGCGCTCTTTCCACCTCCTAAACACCTCTCGTGGCTGCTTGTGTTTGTGCCACTCGCATGAGAAACGTAGGGCAAAAGTGACCTAAAGGTGGATGGTGGGAACACGACACCGTGAATTCCGGGCACGTTTGTAAAGAAAACTCAGAGGCGTTTCCTTGTTCCCCTGCTTGTTTCCTCCCTAGCGGTGGGAAGGGTGGGGGCGGGAGTAGGGATGTGACAAAACTCGGGTTGCAGCGCCCATTCCCGGGGCGGGAGCGCTCCCGCTGACAGCCACCCCGGGAGGGGGAGAGAGGAGCGGGCTGCGCCCGGCCGCCTCCCCGCCCCGCGGCAGCCGCTCGGCTCCCCTCGGCCGCAGGGGTGCGGCTCCCCGCAGCTGCCGCCCTCCCGGGCCGCACGCAGGTCCGCGCCTCGCACAGGCGAGCGCGCGCGCCCCAGTCCGGGCGACGAGGTGGGCGGCGACCCATCCGGTAGGACCCGTCCCGTCTCTGCGCGCGCTGTGACCTCCGGGGGGAGCGGAGAGGCCCCCGGGGCGCGGATCTCAGGGCGCTGTGTTTCCTACGTCTCGGGTGCACAGCGGAGGCCCCGGAGCACCCCCCGCCCCGCCGTCTTCCCCTGCGAACCCTCGGGAAAGCGCTCGCCCTGTCGATCGCCTGGAATCCCTGCAAAAGCTGGGAGAGGAGACGCGGCGCCGCCGGCGTGGGGGCGCGGGCAGCCGTCTCCACCGACAGCGCGGTGCGCCGGCCGTGCTCGGAGCGACGCGGGAAGGGAGCGGCTCGTAGCAACAGGTGCAGCCCGAAGCCGCTCCCGGAACGAGGCAGCCGGCCAGGAACCAGGACCCGGTAAGGCGCCGGCGGGGTCTCTCGGTGCGGCTGCCCTGGCGCGTCCCTCCTCCCCGGCTCGGGGCGGGTGCCGCGCAGAGGGACCCCCGCCCGGGAGGGTCCAGAGCGGGGCTCCCGGCACAGAGACGGTCCCAGTAGGCGCAGCCGCCGGGGCCTCGGGCTCGGGAATCCGCGCGCCCTGCGTGCTCGGGGCCGGGACCCCCCGGCCGTCCTCGGAGCCTTCTTCCCCAGCAGGCGCCGTCGCCAGCGCGCCCGGGCGCCCCGCGCGGGCCATGGAGCCGGCAGCCGGGAACCTCAGCGACGGGAACGCGAGCGGCCCCGAGCCCCCAGCCCCGGAGCCCAGGCCGCTCTTCGGCATCGGCGTCGAGAACGTCGTCACCCTGGTGCTGTTCGGCCTGATCTTCGCGCTCGGCGTGCTGGGCAACAGCCTGGTGATCACCGTGCTGGCGCGCAGCAAGCCTGGCCGGCCGCGCAGCACCACCAACCTGTTCATCCTCAACCTGAGCATCGCCGACCTAGCCTACCTGCTCTTCTGCGTCCCCTTCCAGGCCACGGTCTACGCGCTGCCCTCCTGGGTGCTGGGCGCCTTCGTCTGCAAGTTCATCCACTACTTCTTCACCGTCTCCATGCTGGTCAGCATCTTCACGCTGGCCGCGATGTCCGTGGACCGCTACGTGGCCATCGTGCACTCCCGGCGCTCCTCCTCCCTGCGGGTGTCCCGCAACGCGCTGCTGGGCGTGGGCTTCATCTGGGCGCTGTCCATCGCCATGGCCTCGCCCGTGGCCTACCACCAGCGCCTCTTCCATTGGGAAGTCAGCAACCAGACCTTCTGCTGGGAGCAGTGGCCCAACCAGCGCCACAAGAAGGCCTACGTGGTGTGCACCTTCGTCTTCGGCTACCTGCTGCCGCTTCTGCTCATTTGCTTCTGCTACTCCCGCAGGGAGGCAGGGA